CACGGTTATTAACGACACAAGTTAACATCTTCCTTCTAACAAAATTTCATGGTTATTAACGACACAAGTTAACATCTTCCTTCTAACAAAGTTTCATGGTTATTAATGACACAAGTTAACATCTTCCTTCTAACAAAGATTCACGGTTATTAACGACACAAGTTAACATCTTCCTTCTAACAAAGATTCACGGTTATTAACGACACAAGTTAACATCTTCCTTCTAACAAAGTTTCATGGTTATTAATGACACAAGTTAACATCTTCCTTCTAACAAAGTTTCATGGTTATTAATGACACAAGTTAACATCTTCCTTCTAACAAAGTTTCATGGTTATTAACAACACAAGTTAAATATCTTCCTTCTTCCCAAGTCCATACTTAAGATGCTCATTATTTTCTTCTGTAAATTGTGGAAATTTAGATAAAACAAATATTTAACATAAAAACAATTAAACATTTATCAAACATCAATTTTTATTTTTTTAACTAAGTAACAGTTCATAAAATATGCTCAGAATTCACTTCTCATATTTGATGATACATCTACTATTTAAAAAAAAGATTTTGACTGAAATGTATTTCGATCAGATTGGAATAAAATTTCATTTGTGATTTTGACTTTATACTTGAAAACTAAGGGTGCAAGATTCTCTTTAATGTATTAAACATTTATACTTTTGAGAAAAAAGAAGTTAATATATCAGTTCTTAAAAAAAAACATTGAGAAAGTGCTATTCTTTTCTTGTATAAAGTTTTATGCACATATGTGTATGTGTAAGTAAAATACAGCATATTTCTGTAAATTTTTAAAATATATAAAAGCAGTGAAGTAACATGAAAAATACTTGCACTTGAGAGGTGATAATGGCCTGTATTAATTAGAAAGCAAGCATTAATCACATTATTATGGAAATGGTATGGTAGAGCTACTAGTGTAGATTTGGATAATTGTTTGTCTGAGCATTCCACTCTCTGCACTAGATCCAACAAAATGTTTTATTTTTATACGATTTAATCTTGTTCCCATACTGCTCCTGTAACTAAGCTGTGCATAGCAGAGCCTACATTTTACCAAAATGGTTTCCTTTCTTATCAAAATATACCTTAAACATGGCCTTGCATATTTTGGGCTCCGAAAGATAGCACTGTTCTATCCTTATCAGTTTTCGTCTGTTGTTTGTACAAATACATCGCTGGCAATGTGTCTAAAAAGTAGTTCCAATTAAAAGCAATTAGCAATTAAATTATCATCTCTGACACTAATTACTATATTTAGAAAACCCCACAACTGTCTTCAGCATTAAATTTTGTTAATTTGAATACTAGCTGAAGTACCTGTCCCCTAGTGATGAAGTAGTCATAAAAAACGGAAAATTTGTATGTACCCCCCATATGGACCTAATGACTCTCCACAACAATTTTGGTGAAGATCCTTCCACACCTGCAAAGTTGTTACATGGACATACAATAGACAGTACTATTATTTTGATAGATATATTTGTATGTGTAAACAGTTCTAATACTATAAATTACATCAAGTGTATAGAGTCAGCACTATATAACAACGATGAAATTTAGTATAAGAACCAAAACTGAGAGGTGTATTATGAGATTCAAATCTAAACAATAAAATTGTTCATTGCCAGTCCTTCTAACTCATAATGAAGTTAATATATTTATAAAAAAAATTTCACATATTTTCTTGTCTGTTACTGTCTTACAGTTAACAGTAGTATTTTTTGTTAAATATATTATTTATTAGAAATATTATTAATTATAGCAATATAAAGAATTTGTTCAAACTGAATGTCAGAATGACACAATTTTACAAATGCAAGGTTAAGGTGAAACATGAATCTTATTATCTGCCAACAGTGCCATGTAATAAAAGTAGGAAATAAACAATGAGAGAACTTCTTAGTATTTGACTTTAACATTTTTAAACGTTAAGCGAAATCCTAAACGACTGACATTTGGCTAACACTTAAAATTTCACACCCTTATTGAAAACTTAACTTTTTTTAAAGTTAGTGTCAAAGACATTAAATTACTTCAATGTACATTTTCAACATTTAAATATATGATGTAATGACATGGCTAAACTGAAAGAATGAATAATAAGTACCTCATATAAAAATGGATCTGATGACGTAGGTACTTTTCGAGCCTTCAGCCATGACTGCATCTAAACCAGATGAAACTGAAAGTAATTTTTTTGTGGTAGTTCTTACACAGTAACAAATCAAAAATAAAATCTTAGAAGTATTTTGATTTTCAGTTTGAATGGTATAACAGTTTCATGATCTAGCTGATTGATATTTAGAATGTCTGTAAATAATAATTAATAGTTGAAGTGCAGAAAACAAAGATGCTGCCACTATATATTATTGCAACAACCTACTTACATTTTACTATTACAACTCTTTAAAAGTTTACTACAAAAATGTTAAGACAAAATTGATTAAGGAAAGTGCTTAAAATTCACGTTTGACAAAATTATTCATTTGCACTTACAGAGAATAATGTGTGCAAAGCTGTTACCATTAGTCAACCATGTTCTTGCTACTTCTCTCAAGAAATAATTAAAATTATTATTTTCAAGCAGATTCTGAGCATAAAAACTTTAAGGGATTTTAAAGTTATAAAATAAATGAAACATTAAATAATTCATCGATGGGTAGCAAAGAACTGATCATTTTTGGTATGAGACGAAACTCTCAGTTTCAAACAAATTATAAATTTTTACATTAAAGAAGCTAAAGAAACAAGTCTAAAAGGCAGGTTTAGGGGTTAGTGACCAGGCTAAGTAGAAACAAGTCTAAAAGGCAGATTTAGGGGTTAGTGACCAGGCGAAGTAGCAACAAGTCTAAAAGACACATTTAGGATTTAGTAGACTGATTTCTTTGTTTTGACTCAAATTCCTCATCTGTCTTTCATCCCTTCTTTTTAAGTTTGTCAAGCCTCTGGAGTTTAGTTTAATTGCAGAGGAAACACCTAGCCTTGAATGACAAATGAGGTGAGGGGGGTCATATAGTGATGCAAGTAAAAAAATAAATTTTCTTAATTCTACAAAACACTTGGGGTTAAACAATAATGAAAACACTTTCCACTGAAAGCATAATTGGAAGCAGCTTCCTTGAAATTTTATATATCCTAACAAGGTCTCTACACATTTCACAAGTATCAGATGTTCATCATTGGTAATCCTATAACTAAGACAACTAGTGAACATACCTACTTCTGGGCTCCATATAACTTTGAAGTTACAGGTTTAGGAAAACAGAAATTCAAAAATTATTAAAAATTTGTAATTGTACATAGCTTTAAACTTGTAATTTCAGTCAATCAAAAATTTTATCATTTTCTTCACTATATTTTGCTAATAATAATATTATTATAATCAAAACATTACTACTAGTACTTCTAGAAATATTATTAGTTTTATGGATTGTTTTTTTTATTATTCTAATGCACTGGGCACATTCAATGATTTATTATTTGCATTAAAAAGGTCCCAAAAGCGATATAAACAGAGAAAGTAAAAACTACGTACCGAGACGCATTCTAATACTAGTCATATGAACAGGAACTTATGATGAAGGCATTCATCTTATGAAGAGGAAACTTACGATAATGATTTATAAAACTCACACGTAAATAAAAACTTACAATAACTACAGTACTAAGTAATGTAACTGTAAAGTAAAAGCTAACAATTAAAATAAAATTAGTATTTATAAAGCATCAGTATTCACATGATAAGCATTTTCGTTACCATAAGTTCACGTCGACTTATCACCCACGTGTAGTGCCCATAATAGTAACAACTAAACGAAAGTGTGCTGCGAACACTCGTACCTGTGTTGCAAGTCCTAATCAAGCATATTCTTTTTTTTTTATTTGCGAGTTATGGGGGCGCCATCAGCAGATGATATGCCTCCAAATTCCCTGATTTGATTTAGTTGAACTAGATACCTTCATCACTGCCATTTAGCATGAAGAAGAAGTCAGTAGTTTTTTTTTATTATCATTATTTGCGAGTTATGGGGGCGCCATCAGCAGATGATATGCCCCAAATTCCCTGATCTGATTTAGTTGAACAAATGAGCATGTTTAGTGGGACGAGGATTCGAACCCGTGACCCTCAGATTGCGAGTCGAGCGTCTTATCCACCTGGCCATGCCGAGCCGAAGTTAGTAATAACATATACACAATTTTTTATTTTTTTGTTGTTGTAATTAATTGTGTTACACTAAAAATCCTACAATGTCATGTTACTGGAAGAATGCATATGGAAAAAGTTTACATAGTTAGTTCTTCTCGACTGGGGGGCGACTCCAGCCGTTGGAGACAAGGATAAAAGAAGTAGCACTATTAGTAAAAATAAAAGGACATTAAATTTTTATGTTATTTGTTATAATGAAGTTATATATTTCGGGATAGAGACAATTCGTAG